GCGCGGAATGAAGCAAGGGCGGGCGCCGAGCGGGAGGAGGCCCCCGAGGGCCCGGAGCGTCCTCTGGCGCCGGGGAGGTGGGCGTCGGCCCTAACGCCTGGACGGGCGCCCCCGGGCCTGGTCTGACACCGCCCGCCTGGCCACCGGGACCGAGCAGAGCCTCGGCGGTGCTCGCTCTGCAGCCCCGCCCCTGCAGCTCCTCTCCCAGGCCTCCCCTCCCGTCAGGCATCGGGAAGCCCTAGCCCTGCTGGGGCCCCTTCCAGGGTGCACCGCTTCGGTCTGCGGAGCAGAAAGTAATCTGATCCCTTCCAAGTGGACCGTGAAACCCAGGGACTTCTTCACCATTTCAGATCCGGCCTCATGGCAGGAAGCCCCGCTGGCCTCACTCAAGGTCAGGCCTGCCCTGGTGCACGTTTGCATAGCTCGGGCCCCTCCGGGAAGGAGGACCTGGCCTCAGGGCTGCCGGGGAGCCGACCAGGGGACTTCAGACCGGCAGTCCCAGGGACTCAGCCTCCGGCTCACGCTGATCCCGGCCCTCACTCTGCCACCTCCAGACCAGGGAGTCTTTAAACAAAAGATAAATCCCGTAGCTGTCCACTGGAACCCTTCCTGGTCTCCACTGGGTCCTCCTGATGACATCGGGACCTCTCACCGAGCCCCAGCCTAGGGTCATGTCCAACTTGCTGTCTAGACCCAGTCGGAGGCGCCACTCGCCGGGTGAGAGCAGCCCTGGGAAGACTTGGGCCCAGTGGCTGGGGTCACGTGTCATAGGATTTCAGGCAAAATATCTTAATCTGAAACACAAGAAAAAGTGAAAGCGCTTTCGGGAACACGTGAGAAGTCCCGCCATCTGCCCAGGTCCCTCTCAAGCTGAGTAGGTCCAGGTTCGAACCTCTCTGCCTCCACCGATCCTGGCATCTGCACAGCTTTCTAGCTGCTTCTTGATTTCAGAGAAGGAAGGCAGGGTGAGGCCTTGGGGTCTGTTTTCCTGAGTGACTCCTCCACCCTCTGCCCTCGCTGGTGCTTGACTGCGTTGGAAGTTGAGAGAGCCCAGCTCGACCCTTCCCTGTGTTTGGGGTGTTGCTGAACCTCCCTTCTGTCACTGAATGTAAATGTCCTGCCTCCCGGGCAGCAGTCGTACATCAGTGTCTGTGGTCAGTCACAGTGTGATTCCATAAACAGTGCGTAGGCCATCCTTAATACATAATGCCTCTTTTACACTGAATCTTAGAGATAAATTGATTTTTTTGAGAGGTTTTTGCTATAGGGCGCGTGCGCTTGCCAGAAAGAGACAGAGAGACAGAAAGCGAGAAATCACCCGCCAGGGGGGATGGCCACGCTGCAATCCCTTCTCCTCCATTCTCCTCTTGGGATCTTGGGCACACACGCACACGTGCCCGGTGTGAGTTTAAGCCACCGGGTCTGGGACTCGAACTGTGGTCAAGTACATGGGAGTCCAACGACATAGCCATTACGCAAATTGCTGGTCCCACCACACAATCCTTTCATTCTCCTGTTGGGATTTTGCTCACATACACCTACGCACGCGTAATGATTTTCAAGCTGCTGGTTCTGGGGCTCAGTTCCCATGTGGAAATCCAGCACCTTAACCATCACACCACCTGTTGGTGTGTTGTTTTTAAATGTAATTTATTATTTAATAATAAATCTTTTATTATTTATAAATAATAAAAATTCTCGGCGGCCCTGGGGTGGTGTCATGGTCGTGGTTAAGGCTCTGGACTCCCACATGGCTGACCACGGTTCGTGTTCCAACCCAGTGGCTTCCAACGCATGCCAACACGTATGTGTATGTGCCCGAAACCCTGAAAGGAGAATGGAGAAGGGATTGAGACGTGGCCGTCCCCCAGGGGCTTGATTGCTCAACTTTCTGCCTCTCTGTCTCTCCGGCAAGCACACATGCCCTATAGCCAAAAAGCAAACCAAACCAAAACAAAAAAAACCTCTCTGAAAATAAATAGAAAATAAAGTGTGAGTTAAATGTGCTGCAAAAAATTTGTAAATCCTTGGGGACCAGCAGATGGTGTAATGGTTACATTGCTTGCTGGACTCCCACATAGTCAACTGTGGTTCAGTTCGAGTCCCAGACCCGGCAGCTTAACTCATCCCAGGTGTGTGTGCATGTGTACCCAAAATCCTGAGACGAGAATGGAGGAGAAGAGATTGTGGCATGGCCATCTCCCCAGAGGGTGATTTCTCACTTTCTGTCTCTCTGTCTCTCTCTGTATCTCCAGTGAGAGCACATGTCCTCAACTTTTAAATCCACACACAATTTCTTTTCTTTTCTTTTCTTTTCCTTCCTTCCTTCCTTTCTTTCTTTCTTTCTTTCTTTCTTTCTTTCTTTCTTTCTTTCTTTCTTTCTTTCTTTCGTCTTACTACAGGGAGTGTCCACTCACTAAGAGAGACAGAGAGACAGAGAGAGCAAGGAAAAGTGAGAAAGCACCCCCAGAGGGAATGGACATACCACAATCCGTTCTCCTCCTGGGATTTTGGGCATGATCACACATGTCCCCGGTGTTCCTCAAGCTGCCTAGTCTGGGACTTAAACCATGCAGCTGGCCATGTGGGATCCTGCCGCTTTAACCAGCACTCCACCTGCTGTGATTTCTTTCTTTTATTTTTAAGGAATTATCTAATTTAACTTTATTTATTTTAATTTGACCGATGTCCAGTGGTGAAATGTGGTGCCGTCACATCACACGAACGGGAGAATGCACCTGCACATGCAGGCCAAGCAGTTGGTCCCCCACAGTCGGACGGAGGAAGTCAGGCAGAAAGGTAACATGGGTCAGCCAGTTGCCTGCTGGTTAAGGGGCTGGATCCGCCAGGGCCCACTGCATGGTTTGAGTCCTGGATCTGGCAGCTTGAAAAACACACCGAGTTGGGACCAGCAGTTAGCATAATGGTTATGTTGCTGGACTCCCACGTAGTGACCGCGGTTCGAGTCCCAGACCCGGCCGCTTAAACTCACGCTGGGCGCGTGTGCGTACGTGCCCAGGATCCCAAGAAGAGAATGGAGGAGAAGGGATTGCAGCTGGCCATCCCCCTGGGGGGTGATTTCTCGCTTTCTATTTCTCTGTCTTTTTCTGTCTGTCAGGGGAGTGCACACACCCTATAGCAAAAACCTCTCCAAAAAGAAAAAAGAAAAACACACCAAGCATGTGTGCACACATGCCCCAAATTCCGAATGGAGGAGAAGGGATTGCAGTGTGGCTAACCCCACTAGGGGAAGCTTTCTCACTTTCTATCTCTGTCTCTCTTTCTCTGGTGAGTGCACACACCCTCTGGCAAAATTTAATAAAAAAAAGAAGGAACACCATCTATGATTCCATTTATATGACAAGCGAGAGACAAATGACCATGACAGAAGTCCCTAGAAGGCCTGCCCTTGTGGGTGCACTGCCCAGGAGACATGCCCCTTTCCGTCAGCAGAGAGTCTCTGCTTTCTCTGGGCTGACTTTCCACATCGCTGGACGCTGACGAGCTGCCTGGACTCCTGTAATGAGAAGCGGATCAGAAATGGACAACTCCGGGCCCCCAGCAGGAAGTCGGTGGGAGGAACCCTGTCACCGGAGAAAAGAGGGCCCCGAGAGGGCTAGTTGCCACCACTAGGGGGCGAAATCAGCCTGGGGAAGAGGAGCCCAGCGTAGCCCCAGAGTTTCCACAGCTCTGGCCCCAGGGCCGGTTGCCCCAGGAGCCTCCTGCCAAGCCTAGGTCAGGGCCTGGGGCCATGTTCCTGAGCTTTCTTCACGGCTCCCTCCTGCTGGCCCCTGCTTCAGGGCCAGCCCACCTATGAAGCTGAGTGTCCCTGGGCCACTGCCTGACCGTGCTTTTGGTGGGGGCCGCACCCTTCCCTGCAGCTGGCTGCCCAAGGCTGGCTGACCATGCCAGACGCTCCCGAACTGCTGGCTTTGGAGGGGCCTGGGCAGCACCTGGGCGCTCAGGAAAGACAGGGCAGACTGGACTTTGTCCCCTGGCCAGGGTCAGGGAACTGAGATGTAAGTCACACGAAGAGGGTGGATGTGGGACATAGGTCATCGGGACAGTATCCAGAGGGGACCCAGGGGTCATCATGGGAGACTCACAGGCTGTTCCCGTGGGGCGGCACTGGTTCACCCGCGCTCTCTGAAGCCTGCTGGGAAGGGAGCCACCGAGGTGCCGGCTGGTGGTGCAGGTGGAACTGGGGCCCGGGGCGGTGGGGGCACATGTCCAAACGTAAGTCAGATCCCTGGGCAGCCTGAAAACACTGGGCACACGCTAGGGCACCTGGGATCCTGGAGGGCTAGGAGGGGGATCGCGTGACAGGACCCTGCCCCGTGTTCTCACTCACGTGCACACATGCACACACTCTACCAATAAGAAGAACCGGCTGCACGAGCCCCCGCCCAGGAGCTCCATGGTGCGCAGCCCTGCCCAGCCCTCCTGCTGGCCCAGCTCTGCTTCCCCAGGACTCGGGCCCTCCCCTGCCCAGCGCCAAGGCCAGGCCTCCCCCTCCGTCTCGCCCTCTCACTGCCTCTAGGTGCCCGGGCTCTGTGGCTTCGGCCCGGATGCCCTATTTCCTCGGGGCGCAGCACTCTGTTCCAGTCAGCCAGGAGCCACACGGTGGCACAGCCCTTACCAGGAGACTCAGTTTCCTAGATCACTTTTGGAGAAGTAAGAGCTCCCCTTCTCCCCTGCACCGTGCAGAGGACACCAGACAGAGCCGTCCCTTCCCCACCTGGCTGGGGTGGACTTAGGCCGAGCCCGGATCTGAGAGGGCGTGGGACCATGGGCTCCTGCCCACGTTAGGGCCAGGGTCTCGCCCCCAGGAGCAGGCCATGGGGATGGGGACAGGGCATGGTGTCGGGGCTGGTTCTGGGAGTGGGTCCTGACCTGACACATCAGCTGCCCTCCCTGC